TACGACACTGAAGGAAGTGCTTATGTAATGATTGTCTAACGGTCGATAAATGGCCAAAAGTCTTTGTGAATTGCACTTCTGTACATATTTAACTATTAGGCTTGTTAAAGTGAAAAACCTTTACCCATATCTTTAAAATAACAACAAACACACCTTTAGAAATGTTTAGTAATAACAAATCTACATACACATACTTCTAGATAATTGCCGGCTTTGTGTTCTTTGCATTCCTTATTTCTCTTTTCTTCACCAGTTTTCTGGCAGTGGCCATGTTTACTAAGGGCAGTTCACTAGCTCTCCTCTTACTACCTGGATTTGACTAGACATGTGACTAGGACATGTGACCATGCACATCATCTCAGGGGAGGAAAATGCCTTTCCCCGAGATCTCATGAGATTACAGATAAGATTTCCCAAGCAATGCTCTGCTGATAAGGCAATCCCAGTGTGCATTGCTTTGCCAAACTCAAGTCATTTTGCCCTTTCGAAGCAGGAAGTGAATGCTCTGCAAGTGTAAGTATTTCACAATCACAGAATTTTACACCTGACATGTCTATGTTATTATTAATCATCATACATAGAGGGATGCATTGGTAGAATTTGATTTTTGAGTGTAAAAGTCCGCTTTAAAAATAAGGTTTGAAATTGAATAACGACCTTTATGATAAAATATCACTTCAGGGAAGAGAGACTGTTAGGCCTTGTTCATACCAAGCGCGGAGCAGGTGCAGAGCAGTTGCAGACCGGATCAAAACTGCGTCCAATGTATTCCAATGGTATTTTTTGCTCCAGTTCACATCGCAGCGTGCAGTTCCAGAGCAGGTGAAAAAACTGCAGCAAGCCCTATTTTACCTGCTCTGGAACGCATCAAAAATGCATTTTTTAAAGCCGAAAACGGCCCGGAACGCATCAAAAACGCGGCACAACCCACTGCACTGCGTGTGCAGAAACCTGAGCGGATCTGCTCTGCATTTGGTGTGAACAAGGCCTTATTTGGTGGATTGTCCAAGTTTAAATTCCATGCAATATCTATTAAATAACACACAAAATCAAGGGGAAAAAAAGCTTTGTGAATTGACCCCATTGTGCTGCTTTTTACTGATCTTCCTACAGTCGCTGCTACTGGGACTTCTACAGAAAGCCTGATCTGGAGTTTCAGCTGAAGCAGGTTTAGCAATTTTACAAGAAATATAAATACCGTAAAAGTAGGCAAGTTCTTTATATGGCAGCTATGCGCCATGGTTACATGGATATCATGTCCTAAAAAATCCCATCTGTGTCCCCTGCAGGGAGATTAGAGCCCGATGTCGGGGTTATCTCAATATTGCAGTCATCTCCCCCTTGGTTACGTCTACTGGAAATCATCAGCCAGTTTCAGGCAAGTGTCACGAGTAATTATGTCACCTCAGACAGGCAGCTCATATTTTCTCTATTTCTTGGAGGGGAAGTGGATTTTTATCGGCATCAGGACTAAATTAACCAAAAATGGGCACCTTGCTGCGGGATTTTCTCTGATTAAAACTTGGAACGCCACTGAATTTAAAGAATGGCCACAACAGACTGTGGATCCATGCTCAAATGTAAACAAAGCTACAACCCCGCACCATAATCCCACCTCCACCAAACCTTACACTTGGCACAATGCAGTCAGGCAAGTACCATTCTCCTGGCAACCGCCAAACCTAGACACGTCCATCGGATTGCCAGACAGAGAAGCGTGATTGGTCACTCCAGAGAACACATCTCCACTAGAGTCCAGTGGCGGCGTGCTTTACACCGCGGCATCCCACGCTTTGCATTGCACTTGGTGATGTAAGGCTTGGATGCAGCTGCTCGGCCATGGAAACCCATTCCATGAAGCTCTCTACGCACAAAGTTTGGAGGTCTGTAGCTATTGACTCTGCAGACAGTTGGAAACTTCTGCGCACTGTCGTTTTACGTGGCCTACCACTCCGTGGCTGAGTTGCTGTTGATTCCACTTTGTTAGAATACCACTAACAGGTGACCGTGGAATATTTAGTAGCAAGGAAATTTCACGGAACACCTGAATTTAAATATTTGGAGGGGTGTCCCAATACTTTTGGCAATATAATGTATGTCAAGGCTGCTTACACCACGGACGGTCCGATCGGGTCTGCCTGCCCATTTTTCAATCAGACCCAATTGGATGCCCAATGGTAGTCTATGGGCAGGTGGGTGTAAACAGATGGGCGTCAATTGACACCTGACTCCAGCCAGGTCCCCAAAAACTAACGAATCAGAGATCCGTTTTGCTGGACCTGATCGTGCTACATTGAGGATAATCTGATGTGAACGGACACATGTCTATTTACATCCGACTCCCCATAGACCGAATTGGGGTCAGGCAGTTTGAATTCTTTTTCTCCATCACAAGATGGGAGGAAAAATCTAGACAATCCCCTAATGATCAGCCTCTGTGAAAGGAACCCAACAGTTAATAAATGAATATAAGGGCTAAAATACGTACCCCTTTCCTGGGGAAGATGCTGCATCAGGCTCCCTCCAGTGTTGCATACAACAAAAGTGCTAAGCATGTTGATCATGTGAGCTACGCTGAATGGCAAGAACAGCATTTAGATTATGTGACCTGATGTCAGGGCTTTTGGTGAAATAAGAAGCCTTGTGCCGTACCTAGTTAGCGCATATCCGAGTGTAGATTAATGAGGAAACAATAGTATTAGGCTGCAACATAACAACATTAAAAAAAAAGATGAAGGGGGTCTGAATATTTTCTGAATGCACTGTATATATTCAAAACATATCTTCTATAAATGCATATTTTCCAAGGTCTTATTACTTTAAGAAAAAAAAAAACCTACAAATACAGAAAAATAACTGCTGGGCTATCAGAAATACAGTGCGCTTCTAACTTCCTATTTGGGCAGACAACACACTTCCTCTGCTGCACTGCAATCCAAAGCAGCGTTGTCAGCCCTGCCTGATGGATTGTCAGAGCACATTGAAAACCAGACAAGCATAAGGTGCTAGTTAAAACATTTATTAAGAACAGTGTCCACAGGAGCAAGCAAGAATCATAAACCGGAACAAGCCAAGGTCAGGAGCCGGAATGGGCAGTCGTACAAGCCAGGAGCAGGAACCAGGAAATCAGCTTTGTCAGGAAAAAGCCAGGAGCAGAAACCAGAGGAGAACGTCAGCCAGGATCGGGTCATACACAGAATCAGGATACTCAGAGCAGCAGGAATGCACTAGCAGGTAAGACCACGCAAGGTCACACTGGACTGAGCGGTTTATATAGTGAGTGGAGTGACATCATCACTCTGAGACAGGAAACTCCCATCTGGCTCTCTCAGATGATGCTCTCCAGTCTGGCCATAAGAGGGAGCCTGGGAGCACTGAGCAACGTTACAGAGTCCGCTCAGACAAAGGAGGAATCACAGGGTTGTGAAATGGCAGCCAAGCCAGAATGCTGCAAACCAGTTGAGTCAGGGTGGAGCCCTGACATGGACGAAAGAGCCTCACCTATCCCCACCCTTCTCTACAAGCATACCCTGTGTGTAAGAAAAGGGATCTTGGGAAATGGAGTTCTGGAGGCCTGCATATGTCAATGGGAACTGAGCTCTCAGTAGCTGCTCCTGGAAGAATTTTACAAGCCTGGTGATGTTAGAATTTCTCCAGGAACAAGGGGGGGAAAAAAAGGTTTTGAGAGGGGAAGACGACAAGGATTGCAGGTAAATATGGGTAATGTCTTCATATATGCTTTAACTACAAAAGGAATTTAAAGAAAAACCGGAGAAACAAAAAACTTACCCTTTCAATGGGGCTACACCCACACTGCAAGGGCTAAGTGTTCATTTTGTTGGGGGGCTAATAAAGCTGATCCTCAGTCCCGCGGCAGTCAGCACTCACACTCACCTCTCTCCCATTCCGCTCCAACTGTGAAATGCTCTTCAGATCTAATGCAGGACCTGCAAAGGATGTGATGGCATCAGTGGTCTTTAAGACTGCCAGAGCCCAGGGGAGAAGAGGCTGCATGGAATGGTCTAACAGCCTGACGAGACCAAGGATCAGGTGACTATATCTACTATATTTGAGCACCGCTTGACAAAACGAGCAGTGCAGGGATAGCCCCAATGCAAATGTCTGATTTACCTAGAGTTTAAAGCCAATCACTTACTATGAATGGGTAAAAGAGCAGCACTAAGGGCGTCCAGGGGGAGATAAGGTTTCTATCATTATTATATTATACAGGATTTATATAGCGCCAACAGTTTGTGCAGCGCTTTACAATACAAGGAAGACATTACAGCTACAATACAAACCATGACAAGATGGTAAGGAGGTTCCCTGCCCCTGAGAGCTTACAATCTACCCTGTTTCCCCGAAAATAGGACCTACCCCGAAAATAAGACCTAGTACTATTTTGGAGAATTGCTAAAATATAAGACCTACCCCGAAAATAAGACCTAGTTGTGACCATTTTCAGGGCCGGTGGTGGCATAAGGGGGAACATGACGAGCCGCAGGAGAGTCGGGAGAGAATCAGCACTGCCAATGAAGCCAGCGCTAGAGGAAGCAGAGCCGCATAAGCCAATGCTTCCTCTATAGTGTCGGCTCCTGTCACAGGCGGAGTGATACCAAATGCACTCCGCCTGTGAGGAATCGATAGTGAAAGTGCACTTCACTCATTCTGGCCAGAGATTGGTTACCAAATTGCTCTTGGAAAGGTAAGGCACCCCTGATTGCCCTGATCACTCTATTCTTAATTTTGCCATTTTGGATTATTTGATTTGGATATGGATTTGCATTAACTTTGGATTGTTGTACATTAAAAAAAAATAAGACCTACCCCGAAAATAAGACCTAGTGTGTTTTTTTGAGCCCAAAAAAAATATAAGACAGTGTCTTATTTTCGGGGAAACATAATGTAATCTATCATATGAATGCAGTCTAACATCTTTGGCTAGCCTCCAAGGAACCCACGCACCCTATGTAGGTTATTTTGTATCATTTCCGACTTACCGGAATGGTTGGCCTTTATATGGGATTTGATAAGGCGGTCGTCTGAGAAGGACTTTTCACAGGCAGGGCAGGAGTAAGTCTTTTTGTCCTGCAGAGAGAGAGAGGCAGACAATCAATAACATTCCAGAATAATTGTGACTTATGAGCCAGAAGAGGCGATGTATTGACTGGCCGATAATGTGATTGATGAAGCAGACTGTTTTACTGCAGCGCAGAGTTTTCTGTTGACAAAAACTAGATCATTTTTATCCAGACGTGAAAAAAATGAATCCAGAGCCAAGCGCCATGACAGTGTGAAGTTCAAGAATATCGAACGCTGTACAGCCGTACATGAATGCGTGGAGTAGTTTATCAGAAACCATAAAAAATCCCAGATTTATAGCGGATAGCTAAGCACAGAGCTGAAATAACCTATATGTGAGATGTTATAGCTGCCAAAAGATTTGAAACCATTCGCCGTTCGTGCGCCCACTACATTCTGGTCATTGACCTGCCCCCAGCCAGCGGATTGGGCATTAAGGACTAGTTCACACCAACCCCGGTTCGTTCCGACACGATTCGGTGCCGGAACGCAATCCCGGCCAGCTCAGTGCTTTCCGAGGCGTGGCGGTGCATAGAAGTCAATGGCACCGCAGCCACGCCCAACCCCCGGACTGCAGTGCGATCACCTGCACTGGAACCCGTGGCGCATCAATGCCTGCGTTCCGGTGCGATCAGAAAAAATGCTGCATGCACTATGGTGTGCCACGCGTTTTGGTGCAGGCGATCGCACTTCAATGTGCCGCCATGCCCCCTTCCGCCCCAGAACAGTGAGCCGACCAGGATGACATCCAGTGCGTTCCGGAATGCACTGGGGCTGGTGTGACTTAGCCCTCAAACTGGCAGCACTGTGTAATGTGAATGACTGACTTATGCATAGCAATACCCAGACTTGTAAAGAAAAGACCCCCCTCCCCTACCCTTGTGAGCACCCTACATGATAGCAATAAAGTGAAAAAAAGTATTAAAAATTAAATTATTATATAAAATAAATGTAAAAAACACCCCCCCCCTCCAAAAAAAATCTTAAAAGTCCTCCAGCCCTCATTTACGCACATACAAACTCAAACGTGTTGGGTGCGCTTATGAATGAAAACAACAATTGCGCTACACGTTGGGCATTGCGCATGCCTGAGTGTGAGCAATAATTTTGGGGCAATGTTAACGCTAAATGGATGACCTGTACAGGCCATTTAAACGATGCCTATGAACAATTTAGGGCACAATAACTTTTCACCGTTTCAAGGGCACATGCACTTTTAAAGTTCGGCGATCTGGGTATCTATTAACTCGGCACAACCTCATCTTTTATCTCTTACCCAAAAATGGGTCATATATTGTGTTCCTGTGCATTAAAATTCACTTCTAAAAGTATAAGACTCTCAAACTTTGTATCAATAGTGAATCCAGATCAAACAAATAAAGTATTTTTTTATATTTTTGCCCCAGCACTTACACTCATAATTTTTGCAAACAGCTCCAACTCTCTCAGCTCAGATTCCCTGAACTTCCTCCTGTCCAGTACAAGATCACAAGGAACAGAGCAGACTCAAGCAACTGTCCATCTACTAGCCTGGAGAAGGGAAGAGGGAGGAAGGAGAAGCGGGGAGCAGGGGGGAGGGGAGTGCCTTGCCTTGCTGTGCCTGTGTGCTCGTGGAGACACACACACAGCTTATTAGCACACACAAGAGTGGCTCCATAGGACCTTACAAGGGAAAGGAGCCACCCTAAAACAGGACATCAGGACCAGTGCTCAGGGGACCGGCTGATTCTGCAGGAAACAAAAACTTTTAAAGGAGAATTATGAGGAAAATGAAATACACTCATCCCCATAATTCCATAATTGAAGTTGTGAAAGGTCGGCTCTATTGATCGGGAAGTCAGTCAACACATACCAGTGATCACAGAGTTCCCGATCCTCTCCCTGCCGAGAGCGATGACTGTCAGTCACCACTCTCTACAGGGATTCCACCCCTCCCCTCCACATTTTGCCAGCACTGACTGGAAGAACAGACAAGGGGAGGGGACCGGCAGAGCCAGCTGTCAATCAGCCAGCGGGGCAGATCCTGACAATATTGACAGGAACTGTCCCGGCTGCAACGCGGCTCTGCGCTGTCAGCATATAGCGGGCTATAGCTCGCTATATGCCGAGTTTTGGCCTACAGGAGGGCATTAGTATATGCCCTCCTGTGACCCTGAAGAGAACTATGGGCAAAAAAGGTTGGGCCATAGTTCTCTTTTAAACATCAAAAAGCAACGTCCATTTATTTCATCGGCATTTGAAATGGCTTAAAAACCTTTTGATTTTAATATCACTAAGTTTATGTTTTACTGAAATTTTGGTTTTGATATCCTGTGACAAATTGCAACTGCCACCATTTTATACTACAGGGTCTTTGCTTTCAGGAAATATACAATTCTCAGACCTAAAATGTGCATTTTAACATGTATGTAAAAAGTCTCTGGCAGTGAAAGAGTTATTGGGAGCCCCTGAAAAAAAAATGTGTTTAATGTGTTTTCTTGCTTAGTAACTAGCTTTTCATTGACTTAAACAGTAATAATAATAAAAAAAGCTCAACCTTGAAAAACATCCAAAAAATGCTTGTATGAGCACTCAAAAGAACACCACAAGAAACGACCAAAGACGCTTAGCTCAAGTGTAAATTGGACCTAAAAGGTGTTCCATCTGAAAGTTGGAAGGCATGGAGATGGTTGTGGCAGAGTGTCACGGCATAGATCACATGACCAAAGCTTTGAAAAGTCTCTTTGAAGGTCTCACAAGTGCGTGACCATGACTTTACAAATCATATTAACCAGCGCTCAGGCAAGACACTTCACCTGTTTTAGCGCTTTGGCTTGAGACGCTCTAACACCTGTGAACGGCTGGAACCTGACACAAGGAAATTCACTCTCATTTAGTATCCAGCTTTGCCGATTCATGCCGAAATGAAAAGCTGGCCGCGGATTGTAATGGAAACATCTCTTTCCTCCTCTTTCGTTCACATCTACGGAGCCTGAAACACTCGGGGAATGTGGAATCGACTTCAAAGCGCATCAATCAGAGCAGAGATTCCTTCCAGGTGAGCTGGTTAGCATCAAAGTCCTTCAAACAGAGACTGTAAGAACCTCTCTCCTCAGCTGGCCTCCGTCTAATCATTAGAAGAAACAACAACTTTGTCTCAAACAAATTATAGTAGTCAGCGGGAGGTATAATGCAAAAAGGCGTTCAGCAGCCAGAGGACTTGACGTCATCCCTATGCTATCTGCAGCCTTGTGCCAGAACAAGAAGTTCCAGAATGCCTCGGCAATCAAATATTTAACTACAGAGTTCAGCTTTAAGTGTGCATGTCTTTAAAAAGGGCAAGAACCTTAATGGGCAAACCACAGGTTTGCTTTAATCACTCATTCCCAGGAGCATATACTTAAAAGGAGAATTTGAAGTATAGGGTATAGGGACGTCCTCCCGTCACCCTAAGCTCAGTATAACGCGAGCTACAGCTGTACTGAGATGCCGCAGGTGAAGCAGATCCCGACAATTATGTCTGGATACGCCCAGCTGCGTGAGTGACAGCTGGCTCTGCCTATCTAGAGGCAGAGCCAGCTGTACCCGCCCCCTCCCCCGTCCGTTCTGCCAGTCAGCGCTGGAGGATCGGAGCAGGGAGGGGGGAATCCAGCCCCTCCCCTGTCACAGGATCGAAAAGTGAGCAAACGCCGGCATGGGTTTGCTCACTTCTCGATCTACTGAGCCGACCTGTGACAGTCTCATTGTCACAGGTCGGCTAGAACTATGAGGTGAGTAAAAAGCACTCACCTCATAGTTCTCCTTTAATTTCTTCCTCCTCCCACGGTTCTCTCATAGGAGACAAAGGAAATACCTGGTACTTCCAGGTATGGAGGAACATGTGACAAAGCTGGGCCAATCAGCATTGTCCTACAGGGAATCCTTAACCCTGTGTAAGCTAGGAATCCAGATATTCATAGCCTACAGAGGACTTTCCTTTCACTGCTGGTGGCTCAACAGGTTGGCAGCATACAAGCAGAGTACAAGCTGCTGAGTGGAAGGGGGCAAAATGGATGTGGGCAAGGCCCTGTAAGGGTAAAATGGCGGTCGCACAAAGACCCTATCTGCGAAGACGGACCAAACGGCAAACTGCAGGTGCACAGGAAATGACATCTTACCTCCATATGTGGCTATATAAGAACGAGCCTGAGCTCACAACATTGCTGATGGTCTTGTCAGCTAGTAGTTCCTGTTTCCTGTTGATTTGCCTGTGACCTGTTCTGACCTGGATTGTCTTGGACAACTCTGCTGCTTGCGGCCTGCCCCCGACCTTGGCTTGTTTCCTGGACCTTGCTCTTGCCTTCTGATTCGGTACCTTGCTGCCCGGCTGGCTCTGACCCTTGGCTTTCTGGACCACGATTCCCGTCTCCTGGATCCCACGCTGCATGCCTGGTTTGACCTTTGGCCTGCTGACTTTGCTACCAGACGCCTCCTGCACGGTGTCTGCTTCCATCCCTGGCACTCGTGCTCGTCGCTGCCCTGCAGCCTTCTGTTCCAACCCCTGGGGTTGCACGACACCAGCCGCAAGATAAGCCTCTTCATCTTCCAGTCTCTGCCTCAGGTACGTGATAGGCCCAAAAATAACCCTAACTATGCACTCAATGGAAATATAATGTACTTCCCCTTTAAAGATAAATAAGACACCTCTAAAGAACTTACTATAGAATACCTTTAAAAATTATTGAGGTGTCCGAAACACAAAACACAACCAATCATCCCATTTATGGGACGCACTAACATATTCTCATTGAAATATTCCAGTTATTGCGCATTGTAAGAGACCACTTCCAGCATCAGAACATCGTATTATGTGACATCTCCGGCTCGCTATTTACAAAGCCCCCCGCGGTGCCCGCAATGAAAAGCGATTTCAGCCCGTTGCGTAGGAATAACTCAGGCTGACCTGCCACGCGCGCGGGGAAGAGCAGCCCGCTGCCAATTTCATGCACCCATTCCGACAAGGCGCGGCACGGCCTTCGCTCGATCGG